CCCCCCCCCCCCCCACTTTTTTTAGGGTGGTCTGCGGTCCTTGGAGGTGAGAGTACTAACATCATCTTTGATTCTCAATTAATATCCGCGGGATTTGGAAAGAAATACTTAACCTTGACACTCTGTTTGGTAGGATACATACCTGGTTTACAAACACACTCATATCTACCCACACGGTCCACGCACGACCCATTCACACAAGGTTGACTTGCACATTCATCGATGTTGATGCTACAATTCCTTCCCGTGTACCCCTGGGGACAGACGCAGCGATAACCATTGACCAAGTCCTGGCAAGTCCCTCCGTGTCTGCAGGGAGAGCCAACACAATCGTCGACGTTGATTTCACACTTGCGTCCGGTATAGCCCACTGCGCACGAGCAAGAGAAGGCATCGATGTCATCCGTGCAGTTGCCTGAATTCATGCATGGTTTGCCGGCGCAGTCGTCGATGTTGATTTCACAGCTGGATCCCCCGTAACCAGGGTGACACAAGCACTCGTAGCTGTTCACCTTGTCCATACAGAGACCACCGTTCTGGCATGGTGACGAGACACATTCGTCATAATTCACCTCACAGTATTTACCGGTAAAACCGGCTTTACAAGAACATCGGAAGCCATTGACCATGTCAGTACAGAAGCCGTCATTTCGACAAGGAAACGAGGCACAATCATTTATATCCACTGCGCATGTGCGGCCTTGGTAACCTGGGGCGCAATCGCACCGGAAGTCATTAACAAGGTCGATGCAAGTGGCACCATTTTTACAAGGCCGCCTGCTACACTCGTCTACATTAATATGACACAGGGTTCCCGTAAATCCTCTTGGACAAACACAGGAGTAATTTCCAATACCATCTAAACAAGTAGCGTTATTCTGACACTGGTGTGACAGACAGTCATTGATGTTAACCTCACAGTCAACACCTGTGTATCCAGCCAGACAGACACATGAGTAATGAGTGACATTCTGAGACAGACAAGTTCCACCATTGCGACACTGGAAGGCCATGCAGGTGTCGTTAGTGTTTGAGCATGTCCTTCCAAGTCTTCCTTGATGACAACTGCATTTATAATTGTTGACCAAGTCCACACACTGACCCCCATGGCATGGATTGTTCTTGCAGTCATCAATATCATGCTCACATTGAGACCCATTGTACCCATCAACACAATGACATACGTACCCATCCACAAGGCTGACACAAGTACTGCCATTACTACAAGGGTTACTTGAGCACTCATTGATATCAATATTACAGTCCTTGCCTGTGTATCCTCTAGGACAGCTACATTGGTAATCATTGATAAGATCTGTACATGTAGACCCGTGTCGACAGGGTGCGGTCTGACAGTCATCGATATTAATGGAACAATTTTTACCTGTCAACCCTGTGGGACAGACACAGTGGTAATCGTTGACTCCGTCGAGACAGACACCCTTATTCTCACAAGGATTCACAGGTGTGCAGTCATTTATGTTCACTTCACAGTATCTTCCTCTATATCCCATTACACAAATGCACTTGTAAGAATCAATACCATCAATACAAGCCGCATTGTTTTTGCATTTGTTAGACAGGCAATCATCAATGTTTTCACTGCAGTTCCTTCCCGTGAACCCTGGCTGGCAGACGCAGTGGTGGTCATTGACCAAATCAAGACAGGTACTACCATTAGCACATGGTGAGGCCAGGCAATCATTGATGTTTATCTGGCAGTTCTCTCCATTGTATCCTGGCAGACAGCTACACTGGTAATCATTGATGAGGTCTTTACAAGTACCTGCAATTATTGTAAATGGATAACTTGAGAGAGTCTTGGATTAAATGTATCAAACTCTGACACATCCTCTAGGCTGATCCAGACATGCAATGGTAGAGTACAGAAACCAACCCCAAGACCCCAGAGGTGAGAGACACGTGCATGCCACATTGCCAACTTCGATTCCCTTAATGCTTTAGTAAAACCAGATGCTTCTAATTGATCTAACTCACCTCCATTCTTACAAGGTGATGACGCACATTCATCAATGTTAATTTCACAGTTCAAACCAGAGTACCCTGCCTGACAGACACACTTGTAATCATCGACACCATCAGCGCACACTCCACCATTCCTACATGGAATACTACTGCATTCATTGATGTTGATTTCACATTTAGTACCAGTATAACCCTTGGCACACATACACTGGAATCCATTCACCTGGTCAATACATGTCCCTCCATGTCGACAGGGCGTGTTTTTACAGTCATCTATATCAATTTCACAGTTTTTACCAGCAAACCCCAAAGGACAAGTGCAGTGGTAGTCATTAATTGCATCACGACAGGTGCCATTGTTTTGACATAGGTTGCCATGACAATCATTTATGTTTGTTTCACATAATGTCCCTGTGAAGCCAACAGGACATATACAACTGAAAGAATTCACCTGTAATTATAGAAAAATAATAATAATAAATGAGTTCTAATAATATTGGTCATCAAAATTGTTTTGATATTACTTATCAGCAGCTGCGGCTTGAAAGTTTATACTATTTCGACAACCACACACACTGTACCATGAACAACACTGATAATTTTTTTCCTCAAAAAATCTCGTATTTTATTTCAAAAAATATATAAATATATATATACATATATACATATATACAGCCATTTGCAAAAGTTATGGCCATTTCAAATATAAATACAAGTATATCAAAAGTATAACAGACAGGGGCAGGATATCTTTCTTGATATTTTTTTCAGAAAGCCCTAATGATAAACAACTTGAAAAAAATATAATGGAGGATATCCCATAACATTTGATATGCTTTTGATATACTTGTATATATATTGGAAG